CTACTTCATTTTCAATATAACATTCTAAGTTTTAGACACGCAACACACAGATTACGTTACGCATCCATCTCTCATTAATTTCCAAATCAGATTAAGCTCTAGAATAGTAAACAGTAAATATCGTTTCAAGTATACAGTACCAGCTAACATATAATTTAAAGTACATTTGATATATAAATTATATTCTTGATACGTAGTTGTTATCTTTCATATTTTGCAAGATTGATAACATTGAATCACGATTGTTGATACGTGTAATCTACCTTATATCTCTCACATTTAATTATCGCTACTAATACTGATGAGATTTACTAGAAAAAGGTAATATTTGCTGAATGACATTGTCATAATAAGAGAAAACCAATGTCGTAAAAATGGCACTGGTTATTTAAGAAAATTTTTGTCTATTCTAGCGGAGAGAACTTTGCATTGAAAGAAGGATTTGAGAAAAAGAAAAGGCTTCTCACGAGACTGAATTTTAATTCAGATAAATGTTCCATAAAATCGATCACATCCTTTCAAATTTTACATAATTCAGCCTTTAAAAAAAATCTTTTATTCTTCATATACTGTGTATAAAGCCGCGATCAGGAAGTGGTTTGTGACTAGGGTGATCGCTACTTATTTGGCGAAAATTTGGAATCGCATTCCGACTATCAATTAGAAATAAAACTCCGGCGGATTCCAAAGTATAGAATAAAAGAATTAATAAATAAAATAAGCTTAATAATTATTTCACGATGATGAGTAACTCATTTTATTAAAGGTTAGTGGCATAGATTCTTCTTACAATGAGTTACTCTGGACTTCATTTTATTTAAACATACAACATTTACCTACTGTAACACTTTTTTACTGTCGCCTTCCTTTTTAAAATCAAATCTATTTCTGGAGAATAAGAGATTGGAACCTTAAAAAAATAAGTAATACGTAGCTTTAATATCTTTTCTGATTGATTATCACTCATCTTGATCTCTTTAATAAACAATAATAAGTTGTGGGCACATTAATAATTAATACCTATTAAATAAGGACAAAAATTTATTCTGGTACTGTGGCGAAAGTCTTACGTCTTAACGATAAAGCAAATCGGAATGAAGAAAGCATATTATGAAATTCAACAAAGGACCTCACATTAAATAAAGTAATAAGTATTTTACTCGAGCAGAATGTTTCTTTTTTCAAGAAAATTCTTAAAAGGAAAGCGTTTGGTATATCAACTCGTATGCAGTTTAAAAAATAAATTTATTTTATTTATACAGCAATAAGATTGTTGTTGTTTATGTTGTTATATAATATAAAATTTTATATACATAATAATTTAGTAATAAATAAATAAATATTTTAGAGGGTATTCTTTTGTTGCGTAAATGATAAGCAAATTCAGAATTCAAAAAGATTGATTTTTTTTTCTTTTTCTCGTTCCTTTTTTGTTCTCGTCACCGTCCTGCATGTGAAGAAAAAAAATTTTAAAAAAATTGTCAAAACTTGTCAGAGAAAGTGTCAAACTTACGTTTTTAACAAAACCCCATCCCTAATGTATAGTCAATCGGACTTTTAAATATAGAAGCTTGTAAATCTGGAGACATATTTTCTGGAATTAGATATTTAATTCCCTTTATAATATGTTGAACGAATTCTTGAAATTGATTATCTTCTTCGTTTTGTTGAGGATCATCTTGATTCTGTTGACGTTGTCTGTCTGCCATTCTTACAAGTGAATTTTTTTTTAGTTATAGCTGGTGCCAGATGCCAAGTCTTTATATATCTAATCGTTTAAAAAATTTTTTCTCACCCCTTGAGTATAAATCAAATTTTAACCAACATCTGCACTACAAAAAGTCAATTAGTATTTATTTACTGATTGTTATGTTTAGGTGAGATAGAAAACTTTAAAGTAAATAAAGTGCGCAGCTTGCTGATAAGCTTGTCTTTAAATTATGATAGTGTAAATAGTGCTTAACAGTTCTGAAACCTGCATACAGTGCTACATAAACAATCTAACAAAATTGGTTATGTATCAGTTCAAATAAACGTTGATGGAACGCGCATAAGTAATTGATTTGAAAAGGTTTGTCCAACCTCATTCCATATTAAAATCCACGCTCTAAACTACAAAGCAATAATATGTACTCTAATCAAGATTTTTCTCGATTAATAATCAATTATCGATTTTATCAATCTTCTCAATTAATAATCAGTCATGTATTTATTAATCTTCTTATCAACCAAAAACCTTCTTTGTGCCTGTCTTTTTTCTCACATTTAGTTAAATGCTATGTATACAACCTGTTATGACCAAAGGTTACTTTGATACTTTCCGATTTCTTACACTCATAACGAGAACTGACACTCTCGACTTCATCATTTTATTGCATATTCAACGTATTCATGGTGCCTAATTATGTGATTGCATTCACTTCGTTCAAAAAGTGCACGTGTTATATATGCGAGGATCTACGTTATGTGTCACTAATCTTAATATGGTAGGTGGCGGAAAAACTAGATGATTGTATGCAAGTTAATGTATTGAGTGTAGCCAACTATTTATCCCATATGAAGAAAAAACCAGATTTTCTCTTTCTTTAAATTTATTTACGGGTTGACACAGCATAAATCCTGATTAATATATTGATGACGGTTTGATCGGTTTGCGGTTAAAACTTAAAGCCGGTTTAAGACTAGTATACGCTGCATTCCATAACTTAGAATATGTGATGACTATACAAGTGGTCGAGGTGACTATGTCAAATTTCTCTTGTGTAAGGTTTAGAAGGATATGTTCAATGTGCAGTTGCCTTATCATGTTACAGTATATGGTACCATAATAATCGAGTAAAGAATGATCGAATCCATTGATAAAAATTAATTTATAAATGAAATAGATCTACATGTGATTATAAATTAAATTATTGTTAAACTAATTTTACCAATTATTAATATATTGACTTTATAATTGTACTCCTAGAATTTATATTGTATATGTATTGTTCGTATCTAACATTTTTTGTTATTTTCAAAAAGAATTAGCCATATATAAAAAAAAATGTGTAAAAGTACCATGAGAAAAAATCAATAAAAGTATGTCTATTTAAAAAATAATTAATTAACACCATAAATATTGTAAATAAGTTATATCAATGATAACAATCAATAATATATATTATTTTACAATATACTTTTTTTAATTTATCAAAAAACAAGATAATTTAATATAAAGCCTTAATTTTTATCCTGGTTTAATAATAATTTAATATATCAATATATCAAAATTTACAACAATTAATTAATAGAACAAAAAAATTTAAAAAAAAACCAATAATTGTATATAAAAAATTTTAAAAATTGTATTTAACAAATATACTTAAAAATTATTTTTGATATATATACTGTAATTGCAAATAATGAAATATTATCAATAATTCAGAATTATTTGTTAAATTTATTATAAAAATAATATAAAATAATAATAGTAATAAATTAATTCACTTATTATTGTTATCATGATATTGTATATACTGTATTTATATTGTATATTTTGGGTTTTTTTTTTATAATTGAAAATTGAAAATTATAAAACTAATAATATTACTTGAATTATATTTATTTTAGCATTATTAAATTTAAAACTTAAAACAAATAATTATTTAATTTTTAATAATCACAATACAATGTGTTGTAAAAAAAATGGCTAAAAAAATTTTATTATATTAATATTTTTGTTTTTTTTAATTGCAAACAAATATTAAATACAAAACTTTATTTAAACAATAAGTTTACTATTATTATATTAACAAAATTTATAAAATATTATACAAATTAATTATAGTTTATTGCAATATAACAAATTATACATATTTACATTAAATAAGTGATTGTATTAAATAATTAATATTTATTCTAAATAATAAAATAATTATTAAATTAAATATCTACTTATTAATAAAGTTGTTTACTTTTTTTTTCATTCTTCCCTTTCTTTTTTTCTTTATTTTCTCTTTCCCATATCTTTTTATTTCTCTTCTTTCTACATACTCTTTATATAAACTTCACTCTTTCCCTTTTTTTTTCTCTTTCCTGCCAAAGTTAGGTTTTCCTTTCTTCTTGAAGGTTTTCTTTCTAGACATCTCTTTCTTTTAAAAACCTACTCTCTATAACATCAACCTTCTGACTTGTTAACTCCTTTTTCTCAAAATTATATTCAGAAATAATAACTTCTTTCAAGACGTGGGCTTCAGAATTTTTCTCTCTTCTATGGCCTTACAGAAAAATAACAGACAACTTATCCCCTCCAAAAGATTGACATAGCTATCATTACCAAATTTGGTATTGTTTATTTATTAATAGTTAAACCAGATATATCTAAGAAACCAATATACAACTATTATTATCCAAAAGTATTCAAGGAATTGTATTCTATTGTATTCAGAAGGATATGATAGCCAATGCCAATGTAGCTAACAATAAGCTAGATTAGTTTGCAGGTGATTGGAAAAACCTAGTAGAATAATACATGAAGACCAAAAATTCTAATTATCCTGTAATATAAGCTAATAATAACAACGAAAGTTCTTTGCTCACCCTTTTAACAATGTAATCTCATTGTACAAGGTTAGATAATAACATCTATAAGAAACTCCAATTCCATTATATTTGACAACTCTTCTCAATAACCATTTCTACATGTCCAAACATTTTTTTCTACCTCCTCCTGCTTTATAAGTGTGTTGGATTCTACTCAAGTACTTAAATAGTGCAGCTATATATGTGAAGCTTCTTGTGAAGAGTAGTAGCTGTTTCTTCTTTACTTGCCGCAGATATAGACAACTGCTACAGGCTTGGATAATCTATAATCTGCTACAATTCTAGAAGGATAAAGAGGATCAAATACTAGGTGATCAAATGAAAAACTAATCTCCTTAAATATTTGAACCAAAGTAGCAACCACTTAACTAATTGAGCAAGTTATTTAAATAAAGTATAAGGTAGAATACATTTGATTTGCTATATATTAAGAGGTAGAATATATTTGGCTTGCTATATATTAAGTCATATTTGAAAAGCAAAAGCTTACCAATTCTAGTTATGACTTGAAGGCTAACCTATATATAGTGGCTATAGTATCTTTATGTGATTAGGTAATCACTTTTCTCTAGGTAGCTAGATGCTATTTAAGAAATAATATAGGTTTTGAACTTCTTTTTTCTATATTCTTGGGTGGTGCTAAGGAGCATAGAGAATGGATCATATTTGTGAAGCCTTGCATTTAACTCTTTCTAGCAAAAAGAAATATATGTTATACTATAAATATGTTATAAATCTTGTATTTACAAGTCTAAAATTATAACAATAAAATAAAGTGTAATAATCTTCTGTTCCTTAAAAAAAAAAATTATATATTTTAAATTTTAGTATTTTATAAAATATTTTAAATTTTAGTAAATATAAAATTAAAATTAAAAATTAAGCTAATGTTTTTTGTACTTGTAGTTTTTTTTTTATTTCAAATAATAACAAAGTAGTTAATATTATTAATTGTTACTTTTATATTTTATACATTGTAAATGGAAAAGATATAATGAGAGATGGATGCGTAACGTAATCTGTGTGTTGCGTGTCTAAAACTTAGAATGTTATATTGAAAATGAAGTAG